TTACAGATCTTCTTTATGCACCAAGTGCTTGTAACACTCCAAAGAGAATGGAAAAATTTAAATAGCATCATATGACCCCTTTAAGAGACCTCCGTGAAGTTGGCACCCCATAAAAATAAATAATCACCAAAACTATGCCATTCGTTTGTGCTACGTTTGTGCTGATTTGTGCGGCAAAAACGAACGTTTGTGCTGATTTGGTGTTTGAGATATTAAACAATATTTTTTTGACCGTGTGACGTCACTCTCCACCCCATGTTGCTCAAATCGCTCCAAACCAGCGCAGTTCGTTTGTGCTCGATTTGTGCCCGTTTGTGCCGTTAAAACAAACACTGTATCTATTTTCCTTCCTTACACTGAAAAAAATGATTTGTTGTCCGAACAACCATTACTTATAAAAGTAAATCGATTAAAAACAACGAACGTAGTATTCATAACTTTTCAATGTCTACTTAACATATATAGTGCGTGTAACGCAAAAATATAAGTTACAAGGTGAACTTAAGTGTATGCATAAATAAAATGAAAAAATATAAGTCATGTCAACTACTATTACAATTACGTTAAAATTAAGTAAATCTAGCATAAAATTTTAAGTAGCCTACTGTGAGCCACGTGATATGCATGACGTCACTCTCCACCCCAGTTCGTCTAAATCGCACAAAACTGGTGTCATTCGTTTGTGCTCGATTTGTGCCGGTTTGTGCTGTTAAAATGAACATCAAATATATTTCCCCTTCATAGAAATAACAAAAACAATTGTGGACAGTGACGTCACTCTCCGCCCCATGCCGTTCAAATCTCTCCAAACCGGTGCCGTTCATTTGTGCTCGATTTGTGCTGGTTTTATACACTGTAGGGATCTGCTTGATATTATGTAATGGTATTATGACCCGCTGAAGAGAGGGGTGTGACCAAATGTTAAGTGTAACTTGCATCTATCCAATAGGGAAAGGTTTAGTGAATGCTTTGCAGAGAAGAAATATTGTACATGCCTTCTCCTATATAATCCAGTGTGTTATCAGATTTGTTTTTGCCGCAATTTGGGGTGAAGACTTCTCGCTGTTACTTTTTATACTATTTGCTTATGAGTTATTGTTTTTAATAAAGCGAAACCGTTTTTCTATGGTGATTCGATAAACTTTCTTTTAAACAAGTCTCTGAGTAATTTATTAAGAGTAACCTATTATCTGGATTAATGCATAAATCTCCATACGGGCCACATAGAGGTGAGAACGTCTGCTGAGCTGATCAGGACAACGTGCTGAGAATCTTGGAACTCCTATTACACTTCCCATCCATCCCAAGAGGTAAGGGCAGTATTTGTTTATTGCAGCTGCTTGTGGGGGAGAAGATGTGATTATAGGGTTTATTGATTCGTTACATGTAAAGTGATATAACATGGCACCCAACGTGTGAGGCTCGAATATTGGAGTAGAAAAATTCAAGGATAATAGTGAGTGAGAAGTAACCCAGAAAGTCCTTACAGACCACGGCCACAGCAGTAGTCCAGAGGGACTTTAGTCTTTGAACGCGCGCATTAGACTGGATTAATCCTACACAGTGTAGATGTGGATCCGGTCAAATTCCATGGCATGAAATAAGAACGATAGCTTCAGTGGTGAATTTTAGGATATGTGAGGGTGCAGAAACCCCACCCTTTATCTATTCGAGTAGAGGGGGAAGGGATGGATATCCCAAAGTTAGTGTTTGACGAATTTGGGGCAGAAATCAGAAACATACCAACAAAGATCTGGGATGACCTCGATGAAGTCGATATGGGGGAAGGATCCGAACACGGATCCTTAGCTCCCAATTTTATTCCCCGTAGAGAGGGGACTAGAAACACTCTAGATCTTAGTGTTCCACAGCCGGAAAACCCTGAAAGCCCAGATGATGAATTGTCGACAGAAAATGAGGAACCGCTTAGGATATATTTTGGGAAAGGCAGGAATTTAATTATCCTTAAAGAATTAGAAGGAATTAGAAGAAGAAGCTTGTGTCCTAGTGAACGCAGCCAATACCGATCTCCAGCACGGAGAGGGGGTAGCAGGTGCCTTTCGAAAGCGGGCAGGGCAAAGGTTTCAGGATGAGTCAGATAGAATATTAGAGCATAGAAAGAATCCCATAAGAACAGGCGATGCAGTTTTACAGAAAAAAGGAGGTCCGAATGGAAATCCTGTAATACATGCAATCGGCCATAGAAAAGGTCAAAATGGTGACATAGCAGAAGAATTAACAGCGATTCTCACATTGGACACTTTAATAGACAATATATGTAAACTGGCCAGAGATAATAAATATCGTGCAGTAGCTATGCCCATAATTTCAGGAGGGCTTTTTGGATTTAATGAAATCACAATGGGGGCAGCCCTAGTGAGCGCATTACTAAGGAAAACAGATCTAACTGATTGGCCTAAAGTATGGATGATCTTGTGAATAAATGGTTAATGAAAAGGGTTAAACAATTTATTGAAGTTAACGATTTTAATTTGAAAATGGAATCTTTGAGACGCGAGGTTGACTGTTTGAAACTTCAAAGAGTCAGCGCCGCCTCCAAAGAATAAACAAGAATAAACAGTTAACTGACATCCTGTCAGAGCGAGGGCAGGTGTTGCTATCTGGGTTAACAACTGTCGAATGGAAAATGCTGAAGTGTGAAAACTCGCTCACAATTATTTGAAAGGTGTTGCTATTGTGTAAAAAGAAAAATGTTTAGCTGTGGTTAGGACAAAAGGTTAGACATCCTGTGTTAGCGTTTCCAGAGATAATAAATATCGTGCAGTAGCTATGCCCATAATTTCAGGAGGGCTTTTTGGATTTAATGAAATCACAATGGGGGCAGCCCTAGTGAGCGCATTACTAAGGAAAACAGATCTAACTGATTGGCCTAAAGTATGGATGATCTGTCACCCAGATCCCACAGTCGTAGGAAAAATAACTATGAGAGTAAATCAAGATCAGGATGCTGGGGAAGGAAGGTCAAATCAGGGAACTGGTATTATGCAGAGACCGATAAATACTGGAGTTGAATTTTCGGAGGAAGATTCAGATCCTGAATGGCCAGAATTGAGGCGGACAAGAACGACTAGAGGAAGAAAAGATAGGGTAGAGAACCCATTCCCCAAACTAAAGCTGGGAAGAAGTTATGAAACTTTTCGACTAGGAAAGGGATTTTATAAACCAACACATTCTGCGAGCAAAAAAAGAGAAACAGCTTTAGACAGGATAAATAAGTGGGATGAGGAATATGCTCCAGAAATAACATGCGGACAGGTTTGGAGCATCTTGAACGGGGGTGACGCTACTCAGATCCTCGCAGACACCTCATTAACGCAGCGAGCTAAACGAGCGATATTAGCTAAAAAAGATTTGACAAGCAAGGCCATGCTGGAAAGAATAATTAGGAATCTGGTAGGTAATGACCTGTTCGAGGAATATTATTCGGACGTGGGACCAGAAAGTGACAGTTCAGACAGTGACTTAGAGGAGAATCAAGAAGATTCAGATTATGAAGAGTTAGTAGTAGAAAGACCAGAAAGAAATGTGACACTGAACCCTGTCAGAGCATTGCAGGCGCCGAGAAGGCTCTGTTTCAGAGATAGAACTCCTAAGCCAGAAATTCAGTCAGAGAGGGAAATAGATCAACCAGTGGAGATTAATGCACTAAATCAGCATTTAGAAGCATTGCATTTAGGGACACCAGGTCAGAGAAGGCCAATAACTCCCATAAGCCAAGTGCGTTCTCCTAGACAAACAGAGATTAATTCGATGGAATCCAGGGTAACTCTGGAAGAATTAATTAGAAAAGATCAGGAGATGAAACTTGAAAAAGGCCAAACTAAAAAATACCACAGCGAAAGGAAAGGTCAGAGAGTTGGTTCGCTATGGTGAACAGATGAAAATATCTGGCGAATCCATAGACTCGCATATTTTGGCTGAGTTTGGATTGCACGGAGGTAGGAAATTAGCAAAGACCATTGAAGGGTTAATACCGACTAATAAAGATGAAATCGAACAGGAACGATTCGAAGAGAAGTGGCGAACTGTAGGAGCTCTGTCAGCCTGTCAGGAAATTGCTGTAAAAGGCGTTGAGGGGATCTTGAAACATATTTTTCAAGGAGTAAAAAGAAATGCTCTGATTGGGGCAAAATAATTCCTCCTTTACGGTCCGGAGATGTCTCCAGAAGAATTAGAGAAGGCTTTAATTGGATATGACAGGAAAACTGAAATAATTCAGACAGAGAAAAATCGAATAATAAACCACAGTGGTCTAAGGACCAACCCAGACGATCAGGCCGTGAAAGGAAGCCATATAACCGCTATGAGACAGAGAGCAGGCCCTCCTCTCGCCCCGAGCGCAGAGCAGATGAGAAATGGAAGAAAGGGGCAGAGAGGGGAGAAAGAAACAGCCCTAAAAATACACAGCAGGAAGGAAAGAGATTTAGGGAACAGAATTTAGGGCCTAGAACAAATCGAAATGAGAATAGTAGAGAGAAAGGTAACTACATAAGTCCAGAAAAATGGAACAAATTGAGCGCTGAAGAAAGGACACGGATCATAGCAGAAAGGGGAAAAAACAGGCCAGAAACTAGAGTAGGCAGAGTCCAAATTGATGACAGGCAAGAAAGAGCCAGTGCAGAGACTGAGGAAGTGAAAGTCAAGAGAAAGAAAAACAAAAAGAAAGATACCGAAACTAAGGAGGATTAGGATTTTTCGGCACCCCTTAAAAAAGCCTTGTTAAAAACAAAGGAAATTGATCAAAGATTACACAAAACTTATGATGAAACCAAACCCACCGAAAAACATGATGAATTTATGGAGGTAATTACAGTAGAGGATTTTGATGGTAATTCGGGAAATAAACATGTTTGGAGAAAAAAGAAAATAAATGTAGTTCTTGGAAGTGAAAATGTATTGTGCCCGGATGATCTAATTAAAATAGGAAAAATAGGAGTCGTTGATCAGAACAAAGAAATTGAAAGGATAGTAAAATAATCTGAATTAAGTGATAAAGGGTAGCTGGAAAAGATTCTGAGAAAATATATGAATAGTTATTAGTAGTGATAGGGCAGCCCTTATGTCAAAAATTATTGATTTTGACCTTTTGACCTTTCCCCTCCCCCACGTGCCCCACCCCATGGCGACCACCCACGGTCTGTTGACCCCGTGACCTATCCAGATGTGAAAACCGGCATATGTGAAATTCCGACGTCAACCTATGACCTCCGGGGATGACATATGATGTTTGTACAGATGTATGTCCGTGTCCGAGCGGTAACAGGCGATAAATGAAGTCCTGAAGAATGTTTTTGAAGATTTTAATGGTCCGTTCCCACATCCGGGGGGTTTCCCCATCTGCGTGTCCGGTTGCATTCCGAGGCAGGGCATTTTTGCTCTCTCTCTCTCTCTGTATGGGAGATGTGAGAAAGATATTGGATTTAAGGTCAATAAAAGAATAAGTAGACAATTCTAACAGATCATGAGAACATATCATAATATGTGTGACCACACATATAATCTGATGCTTGCATAAAATAATTTAAATAAAATATGTAACATGATTAATAATGAAATTGGGGATAAAACAATAAATAAATAAATAAATAAAATTACCCATACATTTTTCCAGGAGAAAGATTTCCTACTAGCGCAGGAATGACCGTTCCGTGAATGAAATGTTTCCCGAAATTGTGTTTAGTTTAAGCTGGAAAAGCTCTCTCTCTCTCTCTCTCTCTCACGCACGCACGCGCATTCAATCGTCCCGACTCTTATTCTTATCTAGACTTGTTTCATTTCAGTGTTTTGGGTACACAGTGTTTGGCTACAAGGATCACGACCGTCTATCTTTCCTATTCTAACTTGCAGAAAATTGTGCTGGAGAACATTGCTGGAATGTTTACACAGATGTAATTTGAGAGTCGAGGTCTTTACAGCCGTAATGTTACGCTTTGTTTTAAGAAGCTTGTTTAAATAACAACGAGACCTCTTTACATATGCTTTGGATTTAACCGCGACGACATAAATATTCTTAATTTAGACACGGTTGTAAAATACGCAGTCCTAAGGTATCAGGGCATTTTTTGCTCTCTCTCTCTCTCTCTCTTTCGCTCTCACGCACGCGTGCGCATTCAATCGTCCCGAGTCTTATTCTCTTCTTTTAAATGAAAATAAATGAATTAATTATGTGATCGCATATGATATAAAACAAAGGAAAACATTTACACTAGTTTTAGTCATCACTAAAAATATAAAAACGTTGTACATTTTACCAGGATCGGGAAACATTTTTTAACAGGTCAAACGATAAGGACTATTGGGGCCCCGGACATGTCTGGTCATGTTTATGGAGACTTTACATTGACATGTTTATTTGTATAACTTTTTCACAAACCAAATTGTCGCAATGCAGTTTCATAGAAAATGTAAGTTTCTACATCATATTTATATTTACATTATATTCATAAATTTTATACACTATCATCCCTTAAATGACAATAAAAATGCTTTACATTATTCTGGGAGCGATGATGACTAACCAGAAGTTTAAGTAGGAAAAGCTCCTCCGTCTCTTGTTCTAACCCTCACCCTCACCTTCTCTCTGTCTCTCTCTCTCTCTCACACAGACACACACACACACACACTCAACACAAACACAAGCATTACCACAAACACTCAAACAAACACAAATATGCAGCAAAGCACAAACATACACGCAAACACAAACACTCAATCACACACAAACACTCAACACAAACACAAGTATTCACACAAACCACAACATGAGATGATGTGCATAGGCCGGAGGAACATATGCAAAACACCCACAAAAATAAACAAAGACACACACATTCACACACTCAAAAAGGTAATGGCTAACAGATGGCAACCAGTATCCTTGATACTGACATACCCCTATCCATATGCGTTCTCTCTCACACACACACACACACACACACAGGTGATGGTGATTTGCTCTTCCTGACCGATGAAACAGCATGTGACCGGCTGCAGAGCTCTTATCTGTGGCAGACAATATTCAAATGAATACTCGTTTAGTTGATTATTCAGCAGTTCTCATTAATATAACTGCATGTGTATGTGGCCTGTTAACATCTCACATTTCCATGTTTTGTCTCCAGGTCAGACGCACTTCATCAAAGCCACTTCCTGTCTGCAAGCGGAAGTTCTCTGACACGACTTTACATGGAGTTTCTTTAAGAAGCGTTAATTTGATGGTAAAAGCCAGAAGCGGCCATCGCTGTGAATCAGACGTGCGGTGACAGATTACAGGTTTCCGGATTTCACACTCGCCAGGTGTTAAACGACGATGTAAAAGCTCAGCGTACAAAATGATGTAAATGACCAGGAATAAAGTTTGTTAACGAGGTGAAGTCAACGATAACCCAGCCACCCGCAGGGTCCAATCACATTTTCCCATTTAGAATCACTCCACTTGACACAAAGGTATTAATTATCTTTAACTAATCAGCTGGTTAAGTGCTAATCAAGCTAATAGTGTGAGTGTGCATTTGGGTCGTGAGCCGAGGTCTCGGTTCAGTATATAAACCTAAATGTTTAATTCAGATTCACATATTCTTTTACATGTGCATTACATATATATTACATATGTATTCAGAACAAAACTTCAGCGCATGCACAGAACCGGAGAAATCCACCGCGACACGGTCAGCGGAGCAACTGCGAGTAAAACTAACGCTTGCCCTGCTAACAAAAAAAAAATAATAATGTCAAATTAGTTTTACAATTATTACTTCTGGCAAACATATCAGAAGAGCTTTTTAGCAAATATTTAGTAATTGTTCCATCTCCAAAACATTTCATGAGACGTAAATAAATAAAGTAAATAAACATGCATAAACATATTTTTAAATCCGATTAGGAAAATAGTCGGATTCTGAATTATTAATAACACAATTTATAACAATTTCAGGTCTACAGCAACACTTTCAATCAGGTGGAAATGTAATTGGGAACTGAAGTGTTTGCATGAAGGCTTTTCAGTCCGATTGAGAGTGATTAATCTGATTATTTCGTGCCATGTAAGCGTAGCTGCTGAGAACGGGTTCAAATGGACGCTGTGCAGACCTCAAGATTTCAAACGCATCTGAATGTCAAGTGTTTATCTGCAGGTGCTGTAAATAAAGAGTCCAACACATCACACCGCAGGATAGAAATGATCATGAAGCAGTTCCACAAACGTCACGTATACCATCTACAATAGCAGGCAAACATCTCACGCTCATTTACTCCTGTTGCGTCCTAATTAGCAACATTTCCAGGATCCCAAGAGGTGCTCGTTTTACTACAGTAAACATCAGTATGAGTGATGAATAAACACACGATGATTTCCAATTCACAGAACATGTAATGCCTGAATATCTATGAATGCTTGTGCTCACAGTTAAAATCTCTCTCCAGAACAAGGTTCATAACTGTGTGTTTAACTGCAGCGTTCCAGCGCTGGCTAACGTCTTCATTAACTGAAACAGAAGCTCCGCTGATGAGCGTCAAAGATGCTTTATCAATCAAACATTGATTCGGTGAGATGTTGAGAAGGACCAGAGAGTGATGCAGAGGCGATGAAGTGAAAACTCTGGCGGGAAACTCACTGACATTTCCCTGAAAGGCCACGTGTGAAGATTTCTGGACGGCTCTGTTAATCGTGAACCAGACGAAAGACTGATAGACTGCAATGACCCGGCCCGTGTTTACATGACAAAACACATGCATTTACTGACTCTCACAGGAACAGAACGGAGAAACAGCATTCCGACAGCTGTTTATATCAGGTACAAGAAATATATAAAAACCATTTGTGTTCTAACTATCAGATTTTAAAAAGCATGCTGAATTCTGGACTGACGGACGTCACTGAGGTTTCTTTCTCTCTTGGTTTAAAGCATAAATGTGAATGTGAACAGACATTATATTTCGTACTCAAGTAAAAACCATGGAATGGACTGAGAAGCGTCCGTCTGATTTCTGAGCGACAGCTCACACGTAACCCACAATTTCATCATCTTCCCTTTTCAGGACAATTAAAATGTCATTAGTTTCAATTTCAGAGCAGCGGAAGTGACAAACAAAGAGACGAGGCGACGGACTCGCAGGAGCAGAACCGCCTGACAGCCGGTCAAACGTCAACAAGGAGACGAGACGCAGACGAGCGAACGCATTATGAACTGAAATCAGTCTGACAGCGTAATGTGCAGGACACGTCATCAGGGTCAGCCATCATCTACATCTGAAACTGAAGACACGTGAGACGCTGCGGCAATTTGACAAAAACCAGACCGTAAAGAGTTAGTTCACCCAAAAATGAAAATTAGCCTGTGTTTTACTCACCCTTGAGTTCAAGTTCAAGTTCATTTTATTTGTATAGCACATTTACAGCAGCCGCTAGGCTGACCAAAGTGCTTTACAGAAGAGAAATATATAAAAACATACACAGAAAACAAGCCAAATAAAAATATGAACAACCCATTAAAAAATTACCGAATAACAGTAATCAATACACTAAGGAAAACAGATAGGTTTTTAGCAGGGACTTAAAGACAGGCAGAGAAGGGGCCATTCTAATTTCTAAAGGCAGGGTATTCCAAAACCGTGGCCCTGCGACCGCAAATACACGCTCCCCTCTACGCTTAAGTCTAACATGTGGAACTACCAACAAAGCCTGGTCGCAAGATCTTAGCCTTCTAGATGGAGTGTATAAATGAAGAAGTTCAGAGAGGTAGACAGGAGCTAGGTTATGTAACGATTTAAAAACAAAGAGTAGAATTTTGAAGTCTATTCTCTGATGAACCGGCAACCAGTGTAGAGATCTGAGAATTGGAGTAATGTGTTCATGTTTGCAACACTTCAGAAGAAGTCTGGCCGCAGCGTTTTGGACTAGCTGAAGACGTGCAATTTGAGATTTAGATATACCGCAATATAAGGAATTGCAGTAATCTAGTCGAGATGTAACAAACGCATGAACAGCCATTTCTAGAGTTTTTGGAGTGAGAAAGTCTCTGATTTTAGACAGTAGACGAAGTTGATAAAAACTGGATCCGATAACGGAGGAGATATGTTTATCAAATTTTAAATGCTGGTCGACAAGAACACCTAGGTTCCGCACCTGTGAAGATCTAAAAACAGATAAACTGTCCAAATCAGGGCGTATATACTGAGAATTCTCATTAGAACCAAAAACAATTACTTCGGTCTTGTCTTCATTTAGGGAGAGAAAATTTTGGGCGAGCCATAATTTAACCTCCTCTAAGCATTGCTGAAGAGAGGTAATCGCTGCGGAATTGTTTCTTTTGATTGGTAGATAGATTTGAGTATCATCTGCATAGAAATGAAAAGAGACACCATGTTTCCTTAGAATAGAGCCCAGAGGTAGCATGTAGAGAGAAAATAGAGAAGGAGCTAATATAGAGCCTTGCGGTAGGCAACAGGTCAGAGGTGCATTGGAAGAGGTAAAATTACCTCTTACTCACCCTTGAGGCATCCTAGATGTGATCATCGGAGTTATATTAAAAATTTTCCTGGCTCTTCCAAGCTCTATCTGTCACGATCGCTGTGATGGAGCGAGGAGACGAAGGAACAAGGAGACGAGGGAGAATCCAGAATAACAGACTTTATTTACACCATGGAAAGCACACGTAAGACACGGGGATAGACGATCAATACCGGACAAAGAACTCTGAATAAAACACTTCTTAAGTACACAACTTAATCAAGGGAAGACCAGACACACCTGGAATCAAATTGGAAACAATCCGGGAGCAGGAACAGGAAGAGCAAATGTGGGAATGGAAACACATGGGGAGCAAAACACACACAAAACACGGAACCGAGTCTGACATTGGGGTGGGTGCCCTGGAGGCTGGTGCAGGACTGGGACACGGGAAATACCTCCAGGGCAGATCAGGCAAGTCCAGGGTGCCATGGCGGAACAGGGAGCTCAGGGAACCATGGCGGAGCAGACAGTTCAGAAGGCCATGGCTGGACAGCCTCCGTGGCCTTGGCCTCGCCACTCAGCCCGGCCACTACGGATGGTCTCTACTTTCACTCAGCGTTTGTAAAATGGTGCAGTTCTTGTTTTGGATTCTCATCAGACAACTGGTTTTAGGTGCGGGGAGGAGCATTTTTACTGCGTGATAAATATAAGCAGCACAACACAGCGGTTTATATGCTCATTGTCGCCAAGTTCTGACCAGAAATGGATAAATATTAATTCTGCTGTTCAAAACAAATAAAGAAACCGTGTAGGAGAATGGTTATTATGTGCAAACAGCAGGTAACTTTCTATATGCGTGCAGTGTGCGCATGTCAAAAATCAATTGAAGCTTGTGAAATATAAACACACACAGCAACCCGATCACTTTATTTAGTGTTCATGTAAACAGTACATTCAGATTCATCAGTCGGAATGAATTCAGTCTGATTGAAACAGAAGTTGTGCATGTAAACATAACCTAGAGATTTCAAAGCAGTGGAGAAGAACGCAATTTGGACCTGTTGCTCTCAAAACCATCATATATCAGAAGACCTGAAGCGCACAGCCAGGATTCGTTCCTACAGACTTCTGCTGATCGTCTCTTAAAGAAGAAAAAGAGTGCTATGAATCTGGAGCAACATGATGGCGAGCGAACCTTCGTCCTCTCCATGTGACCTCGTGGCATTTGTGAAGCACAAACATCATGATTTTTCATTATCCTAAAAAAAAAGGGAGTAAATATGATGTTCAACGAGGAACAACAATATTTAGAAAGATGAGCACACATTCCTGGAAGTGCTGGAGGAGCTTTAGGACGTTTATTAGATTGTGGGTGATAACGAGTATTTATGAGCGTCTGAACGCGCCAGTGGGTCAGAAATACCTGCACTGACCAAACCCAGAGAAAGAAACTAACACAGACTCACAGAGAAACACCAGAATCAGCCGCAGAGACCTGACAGCATCTCTGAACTACAGCTGGCGGCGTACTGAGACAGACAGAAATGTGTTATAGATAGATAGATAGATAGATAGATAGATAGATGGATAGATAGATGGATTAGTCCACAAGCAGTGGAAAGAGTTGTTTTAATGTTCCAATGAAATACATATAGAGTTATTTTGTGATGTCATAGCTAGGGTTGGGAATCGAAAATTAATTCCAATTCCAGAATCGAATATTTAAGGTCAGGAATCAGATACTTGTTGTAAAATGTAAATTCCACTCATCAATTCCTGTGTGTGCATCTTTTATTTTTAGCTGGAGAAAAGGAGCTGTTAAAAATGTATTTGTCTTTGAATCATTCATTCAAGAGATTCATTCAAAAACACTGATTCATCCAGTA